TTTTTTTTAGAAATTTGGCTAGTACTTTCAGACCTTTTGTATACACAGTCTGTTCTAAATCTGGCCAATATTCTCAGACCGTATGTATACACAGTCTGTTCGAAAACTGGTCAGTTATTTCAGACCGTATGTATACACAGTCTGTTCGAAATCTGGCCAGTATTCTCAAACCGTGCTTATATACAGTCTGTTCGAAATCGTGCCAGTCAGTTTTCTCAGACCGTGTTTAAAAATATAAGTCGTGAATATTACAAGTTGCTGTAATCCTTTCCCTCCCTTACTCTCTCTTTCATTTACATATTTGTATTTAACTGGGTTTTTCTCTCTTTATATAACATTTTGTCAATACACACGGCATGGTTTTCGTAGTTTAATATCCTTAGCAGATTTACCAATGTCTTAAAGACTATTAAATGTTTATTCCGGGTTCACGGACTATGGGCTTGTAACACTTCTCATGGGTTCGTAGATGGACTTTTGCAAGGCACATTGTCTGTCCCTTTCCATCATAACAATGTACACTAATTTTTACAGTGACAGTTTTATCATTCGATATTTTCATCAATCATTAAATGTAAAAATAAAAAAAAATCAAAGGCTTTGTATAAACAAAATCTTATAATTACTTTAGATGGTTTCGCACATGTATCTACAAGGATTTTTGTATATGCATTTATTCCTACAAAGAAAAGAAGATGTGGTTTGGTTGTCAATGATACAACAAAGACGAAATGACGTAGATTTAAGGAACCATGGATTACCGGATATATATATATATATTATATTATAAGTACGTCTGAACCAGTGACAACTCTACGACAGATTTGATCCATCGGATCATCAGTGATGGTGATACAAGGCTGAAAGCACATTCTGTATATAATTCGTCTAAATTATATGGTCTAAATAACAGCCCAACAATGTTAGATCTGTAAATTCCCTTGCCGGGATTCGAACTCATGCTACTGAAATATCGTGGCACCAAATCGCCTTGCACTATGCCCGGCGCGCTAGACCACTCGACCACCTAGACCCTACTAAAATCAAGCTTTCAGTAGCCGGGTGTTGCTTTATCTCGTCAGTTTTTATCTAACGTCGTATATATATAATATATATATATATCACCTTCAACAATAAGCAAAACCCATTTCTAAATTTGAGTATAATCTATAAAATGCTTCATCATGACTAAATGTTAAAAAATGAAACGAGAGAACCAAATGATAGAATAGAGAATGAAAACGGGGGAACGTGTCAAAGAGACAAAAACCCGACCAAGAACAGAAATCACAAATATAAAACTGGATTTTTATTCATTGATGCCCTAGATTTATAGCTAGAAATGTATTACATCTCACACGTTTTATTACATAAAAAGATATAGATATCATATTTCATGACATTTTTTTCAATATAAAAAAAGATTTGAACAATGAACAAGAGTCTCCATAAACTGGATTATGGATGAAAAAAAGACAACACGTTTGGCGTTAATGAAATGGGGGTTTGATGGGGATGGGTGGTGGTGGTGGGGGTTACACACCTCATAAGTATAGACCACTCACACTATTTCTTTTAAAAGTCTAAAAACCAACAGACTTTGATTTATTTTTCGTTAAAGATGTTCATCAATCTTTCGTAAATAAATCATCAACACAGAGTCACGTGACATATGTTGACGTCTTGATCCTCTGTCACAGTGACATCAATTAATGTTACACCCCAGTTCTATTGTTATACGTCATAATTTCTATTTCTGAAACAAGTGTAAATTGAATAGATCTATTGTTACGAATAACAATGGATTTTGACCACAGGGTGTGACGAGCGGGTTTTCGGAAACCCCTGCTTCTACATCCCGAAAACAAAGTCCATTGTTATTCATTACAATTGAAATTGATTATTTTTTTAAATAGCATGAACATAAGAAATTACTGATAGTGTTCACTACAAGTTGTTTCAAGATATTAAAAAACACATTTTAGGAAATTCCAATAGCGAAAAAAAATATTAAGCATCTATTTTGATTAAAAAAAATCCTTCAAGGGAAAAATAATTTGATTGATAGCGTTGAAAAACTAAATAAAATTGTTCGCAATTTGCGAGAAAAAAAAATTCTGACTCCGACAAAACATACCCCAACCCCGTTGAAGTTAAAATGGTTGCTCCCTAAATACTCCTTTGCTTGAAGGTAAAATTTTTGATCCCAGTCATATTTCTCTATTCTAAAGCATTGATTCTAACTCCCGGAACACCCCATCCCCCCACCCCCCCCCCCCCCCCCCCTTCCAAACCCCCGATTCCGGTCGTCGGGTTTCTAATCCAGACACACCTATCCCTCAGCGTGTCCGAATATGAATGTTTGTTTATTATTGAGAAAGGGGGGGGGGCCTTCTTTTTATTCATAAAACCGTAACATAAGAAATACATTAATGATTACCTTCATTAACTGATACAGGTTAGTACTTTGGGTTATAATATTGCCTTTATCTTTAGTCTCTTCTAGTTCTACCAAATGTAACGCTTGACTCAAAATGTCGTCCGTCTTATACCCGTCTATATTGACAACTGCATACAAGGAGCATGATGTATTTTTTGTTTGTGATAAGAATGCACGAAACGGTCAATCTTGAACTTCTGATCCATATTAGCACCAGGATTTAATGGGAATATGCAAAACAGCAGCTTTGACATTTGTAAAATCTACTCACTTGTCAAAGTTTGAAAGAACATAGCCAAAGTAAGGTTACTAGTGGGGTTTCATGTAAAAAAAAAAAAATTCATGGTTCGATTTTGTCAATAAATATGCTATACATTCTTTTTCATTTAATAATCAATGTTAACAAATATAGGGTTTAGCATTTGTTATACACCTCGGGATACGGCCTCCGGCCGTCGGGGTTTCTTATCCAGACACACCTATCACTCGTTGTATAACTATTACTTCCACCATCATCTGTAGTAGTCATGAATAAATACGTGTATAATTCGATTATGAAATGTGAGTAATTTTAAATTTCTTTTTTTCTTTAAGTAAGGTACCCACCAGCCATCTATCTTTTGTTTTGTTTTTATATTTTGGTCTTGTCCGTTATTGAAAAGTTTTTAAAGTTGATATCATTTGTTTTGTCCCGATAAATATCTCATGTTTTCCCCCTCCACAACCCACAACAAATGAATGGTCGATGCATCTTAAGCGTCTGGACAAATGAGGACGTTAAAAAAACGGGTTGACTTTCTGGCTTATTCTGTAAGAGCACTGCCTTTAGTACGAGGGTTCGGATTGGGACGTCTGACTGGTTAAAAAACGGGAGTTCTTCGTTGGTTTGTTTCTGTAAGAGCGCTGCTTTCAGACCGAGGATTCGGATCTGGTCGGTACTATCCATGTATTTTCACAATGAAACGATGCCACATGGAAGGAGAGCTCTCATCTCTCGGCACGTGAACATATTCCTTTGCAACATACTTTGAGGGTCTTAAGGTCCCTAGCTTCTTTAAGGCAAATTTTCTCCCGTCCCATTCCGCTTCCAACATGCATGAACCTTCATTTTGCCATGGCAGTCCACATTTTGCAACCTTTATCTCTGTCTCTGTGCAACCTTACTCATGTAATGACTGTTAAGTTATTGTATTCTTGTCCTATAATGTATGTAATAATGTAATATTTGCTACTGGACGTTAAGCAACAAACAGTCAATGAATCTTTTAAACAATTTACCTAAAGTCATATCAATGTATTCAGTTACTATGTCGAACCCCGAACCTCGTGGGTGGGACACTACCATAATATACATGGTGATGATGACGTGCCGCTGGAATAGGTCACATTTCCAGCTTGAAAATAGGTGAATATGTAGATAAAACTATCAGAAATATATGAAAATATGTGAATAGGTGTGTGAAATTATTTGAAATATATGAAAAGGTTAATAACGTTCCCACTACTTGTTATATGAAAAGTCCTGTATTTTTTTCACAGTCGAACGTCTCGCCGTAAGCAAACATTACATAAAGAATCTGAGTCTCAGATCAGAGCTCCTTGCAAATGTGATATTTCTCGATTTTACGGGAATATGATTCTCGTCCGCTCTTTAAAACCCAACAAATATGATCCGGTATATGAAAAGATATACATTTTAAAAATTAAAATTATGTAAAAAGTTTGGAGTAACAGAACTCCGGCGGCACCCCTATCACTTTTTACAGTATTGAAGTTGTTCCCCGAGCCCCGAACTGACTAGTCTACGTTCTTCCTCTTAAACGTTGTGTGTTTAGCAGAAAACAAAATATACTAGTTTTAGAGTATAAACTTACATAGCTGCGGGGAATTCTGCAGTCTGCATTGGCATCTATACCACATCTTCTTATTTTTATACTGATATATGTTTAAGTGTAATTCTTTGAATTTTATTCGTTTCGTTATCTAATTCAGTATAAAAATAAGAAGATGTCGTATACTTGCTAATGAAACAGCTCTCCACAACACACAAAATGACACTGAAATTAATAAACAAGTTAAATAAAAAATAAAGGTCACCGTACGTCCTTCAACAATGAGTAAAACCCTTACTACAGAATCGGCTATAGAGACCCGAAATGACAAATGTAAAACAATTCAAACAAGAAATTGCGGCCTGACTTATGTACAAAGTAATGAACGAAAATCAAATATTAAAGAGAAACAAACGACAACCACTGAATTACAAAGGTAAAAATTTATGTTTTATTAACCGTAATTGTGTTGATACATGTAGCTGTAAGTGACCATAAGAGTTTTATTTTGAAAATGGATGTTATGAACCAATCAAGTTTAAACCCTTGACAATTTTAATCGGTGAATCCTTTAAATAAATTACATGGACATCTGCTGTAATGTTTAAAGAAAATAAAACAAGATATTTTAAATCATGTTTTACCAAAGGCATTGATCTTGATCATATTATCTACGATTTTTGTTGATAGCTATACGTCAATGTATGTGTTTTATTTATTGTAGATATAAGAGATCAATGGGTTAAACCATCCATGTTTGTGGAGAATAAGGGCACGGTATGAAACAAGAACCAACGTTTATGATGTAAAGTACTAAATCATAAACGATATCGTATACATTCGAGACTTAAGATACATGTATGGAGGGCTGATGTTAGTTGAACTATATATGATGCCCGAAGTGGTGCAAGTTCAATTTAGTAAACGATAGTGTATACATTCGAGACTTAAGATTAGTTTATAGAGGGTTGATATTGGCTAATTTTATGAATCCCAAAAGATGTGTAAGTATTAATTTATAAACGATATCATATACATTCGATATTAAGATAAATGTATGGAGGGCTGATATTAGTTAACTATATGATGCCTGAAGTGATGCAAGTATCAAATTATAAACGATATCGTATACATTCGAGACTTAAATTTGGTAAATAGAGGGCTGATATTTGTCAACTATATGATACCCAAAGTGGTGCAAGTACCAATTAAAAACGATATCGTATACATTCGACACTTAACTTTGGTATATAGAGGGCTGATATTAGTCAACACAATGATACCCAAAGTGGTGTAAGTATCAATTTATAAGCTATATCATATTCATTCGAGACTTAGATACATGTATGGAGGGCTGATGTTAGTTAACTATATGATGCCCGAAGTGATGCAAGTACACATGTATTAAATTATAAACATAAGCGTATAGATTAGTTAATAGAGGGCTAAAATTGGCTAACTTTATGATATCCAAAGTGATGTAAAGTATCAAATTATAATTGATATCATATACATTCGAGGCTTTAGATAAATGTATGGAGGGCTGATATTAGTTAACTATATGATGACCGAAGTGACGCAAGTTTCAAATAATAAACGATATCGTATACAGTTGAGACTTAAGATAAGTCTATAGAGGGCTGATATTGTTTTACTATATAAAACCCGAAGTAATTCTGGATGTGAAGTTATTTCTGAAATAAAAAGTATGCTATACCAATTGTCACATTTATATAACAAACATTTAAATGGCTTTCAAAAATGCAATTATTAGCAGTGGCAATATTAATGTGATGTATTATAATTGCGATTTATCCTGATTTAACAAAATTTACAAATTGCAAATGTATATGTACATTGTTTAAAAATTTCCAGGATTGTTTAAACTCATCCTACATCATGTATGTCTGTACCTAGTCAGACAAATCAGACAGTGGTGTGTTCGTTGTTATTTGCACGTCTGGTTTTGTTCGGTAGTAGTATGCCATTGTTTTGAAGTTGTATGTCAGTGTTTGGTAGTTGTATATCAGTGTTTTGAAGTTGTATGTCAGTGTTCGGTAGTCGTATATCAGTTTTTGGTAGTTGTATGTCAGTGTTCGATAGTCGTATTTCAGTGGTTTGAAGTTGTATGTCAATGTTCGGTAGTCGTATTCAGTGTTTGGTAGTGTGTATGTCAGAGTTTGGTAGATGTATGTCAGTGTTTGGTAGTCGTATGTCAGTGTTTGGTGTTAATTTAAACATATTTATTTATAGTGAATTGGCAAACAAGTTATTACAATTTATATTAATCCACTTTGCGGGTGCGAGTGCTGCCTTGTAGGCCTGTTCTTTTTCGACATCTACAAGGGTGTCTTTTACGTGCAAGAGATATTGCTCTCTCTCTTAACACGGGTCAGCAATTTATCGTCCCCTTCCGACAGACTATCATCGTTTCTCAAGACCATACTCGCAAATGGTGTCAAAGGAGCCCGGAACGGGGATAGATCCAGGAACCTTTGAGTTAGTAGTCCGATGCGCTATTCACTACACCACGGCTCTCTCGGTGTTTGGTTCTCTCAGTGTTTGGTGTTGTTTGTTGATTTGTTCAATATGTTTGGAGATTCATGTTATCCTTTTTATATTTCATGTTTTGTCGATTGTATCGAAACACATCTTGACTGATCAGAGTGAAAGATTTTTTTGCAATCAGATGACATCATTTAATTCAGAGTGAAAGACTTTATTCCAATGAGATGACATCATTTATTTCTCAGATATTCCACAGCGAATTTAACGTTAGCTTCCTAGTATTTGTTCCTCATTAAAATAATTCGTTATAGCTTGGTGTTCGGTGTGAGCCAAGGCTCCGTGTTGAAGGCCGTACTTTGACCTATATTTGTTTACCTTATACACATTGAGACTTGGACAGAGAGTTGTCTCTTTGGCACTCATACCACATCTTTTTATGAAGTAATTCATAAAAAGTTATACATTAAAATCATTGGACAGTACAACAAACCACACCAGCCATGTGACAACACCCGACTTATCTTAAGAAAATACATTGTAAAATGTATAAAGGTTTACCTTCGCTTTCTTATTTCTCTACTGAATAGATAAGTTAGGGCCTTGAACAGTAATGAGCCGGAGGCTTACGTTAATTAGCTTGTCTTTCCATCCATCCGTGTGTCTTTTACGCAATCCGTTCGCCCGTCCGTCAGTCAATCAGTCAAAAATTGTTTTTTCTACTTTTCAAATTCCTTGGAGTTCGAATATGAAACTTGGCATGCATATAAATTACTGCCAGAGGGTGTATCGCAAACAAAGCAGAAAAACCAATAATGAAGCTAGGGCATGATCTTTGTTCAAATTAGTCATCATTTTGCAAACATCGTTTCTGTCCCCTTACTATAAGACTAATTGGAGTTTGGTAATAACACATTGTATCGCGTACTCGGAAAAAAAACTTAGTGACAGTAAAGGTCAAAACTTGATTCAACTAAGTCACCACTGTGCATAAGCAAATAATTCGTTTCAGCTCTCTAACTTTCAAACCCCATTGTAATTATATAAAGTAACTTAATTTAATAAAGTAACTTTGGATGGAGAGTTGTCTCAATGACACTCATACTACATCTTCTTATATCCATAAGCTTGATTATTCACGACTACTCAAAAGGTTTATCCATTTCAGGGAAAATAAACATACATAGAAAGTCATGGTCAACTTTAAGTTTAACTTACTACAATAGTTAATCCTGTGCACACATCGTTCTTGCTCTCTAACATCCAAACCTCTTTGATTTGGTGGGGTTCGTGTAACTCATTTTTTAGTTTCGTATGTAGGGTTTTGTGGACTTGTTTGTCTTTTTCGTCATTTGTCGTTCTTTTTTTTGTCAAGGCTTTGTTATTTTCTCTTTGGCATATGCGTTTTTTGCCGATGCATTAAACGGGTTAGTTTTCCAAATTAATGAATTTATATTGTTTTTAATTATTTTTTTTTTAGGAAATTAGAACCGAGATTGAAACAATTTGCAATAGTTGGACTAATTCTTGGGAGTTTATTTTTTACAATGGAATGGTAGTAAATGTTTGACAGAAGGAAATGATCAGTTTGGAGACAAATGGATCATACAACGTCTACTGGTATCAGCCGTCATTGAACTGGTGTTCTTTTTAGTAGCATTTCAAACAGAGGAGTTCCGACTCATTGTTTAAAATTCCAAATCGATTACAATTTTCTTTTTCCTATATGTACTATCAAGTGGTCTGTTGAAATATACAACATTGTCCCTCTTGGAGACAGAGGGACGGACATATATCCATCTCTTATACCTCTTATTGTGCTGATTTGTCACATTATTTGCAAAGGATCTCGATTACAGCATATCATCATGGTAACCACTGGTCTGCTGTCTTAAGGCGCATTGTTTGTATCGCTTGGTGTAAATAAAGATTTCACCATGAAAAGAATAGATTACTTATCGTTTTCCTCTGTATTTGCAACTGTGTTGAAGCTGATATGCCTTAAACATTTTAAAGATAAAAATATCAAGGTCACACTACGTTTGAGAGCTATTGGTATATTTTTTGCCGGAACTATTGCAATGTGCCGATTCTAGAATTCACGAATCATTCTAACTTTGGAACTTTTACGCTAGTGTCATCTATGTCTGGTTTAGCTTATTATACAATCACGTGATATGTACAAAAACAGTTTTAGAGACATCCGGGTTTCTCATGATGGGATACCTATTGCATCAAATATTAGAAAGTGAATCAATAAATATTCTTCCAGTTTTATTTGGTACTTGTTATTTGATTGCGACATATATATGGCACGTGCAACAGCAACTAGACGATTCAAAAGCACTATTTAAAGGTAAGAACTGGTTTTTGTCCTGCCAAGATACAGAAATCGGAAATTATTTCTATCTAAATCAAAAGTCCATGAAGTCGCTGGCCGACGTCTATAATATAAAAAAATACCAAATTATTGAAGTTACAGAATTTCCAGAAAACAATGCAAATGGTGTATGCTTGTTAGTTTGTTGTTTGTTTGTTTGTTTGTTTGTTTGTATGTTTATTTTTTTGTATCATTATTTTTTTTTTATTTTCGGTTACCACCCAATAAAAAAAAAATCATTATAAAGCATAGTACGCAAAACTTAAAAAAATGTAATTGAGTTTTATCACCGTGGATTGAAGCACATGATCAAGCATTTACAATTAAGCTATAAAAATAGAAGTTTTCAATTCTTATTATTGCAGTTATCTTATATTAACGAAATGGTGACTTAAATCAAGCTTTGTGTTTGTGTTTTTCAATGTATTGTTATAATGTTGTCATAGAGAGCACATGCAGTCATATTTATCTTGATTTTATTAGCAAATAAAACATGATTTTTGAATATTTCGTGAGTGTTAAGTGTTGTTTGGTATTCAAAATATGTAATTGACAGTTGTTTCACTGTTTTTGTTCCATTTCCAGATATATCGTCCACGAGCCATGATTACACTATAAACTATCCGCAAAATTAATACTAGTATACACTTTGATTGCATATCAATGTAACTTTATCATACATAGATTTTGTTATAATTTCAGATACATCGTATCTGTAGAACCTATCCATGAGTAAATTTACCTTAGTATACATATGTTATTTTCTAATTTCAGATATGTCGTCCACGAGTCATGAAATGTTTACCCGAATTGAGTTTATAATATTCATGGGAGGTGTAATAGTCGTGTTGTTTTACGTGTTACAACCACGTGTTAGTAGTAGGGATATAAATAATCTTAGTTATGTTGGACTAGCCAAGATTGTTAGGAAACTATTGAGGAACAAAGTCAGTTGATAAATGTATAGAGAGAGTTTGTTAATTTAAATGATTTAGTATATTATGGTTGAGGGAGCTTTAATAAATAAAACAAGATTTTTTCTGTTTTATAAACCATTGCATATCTTGAAGTGATTGGTATGTTGTATGTTTACCGTCCAGTGGTAGATATCTCACGTATATTTAGGACGAGAGCAAATGAATGAAGCGATATATATATATATGTTAAATGAGTAGGTATTGCAAACTGGGATAGATTTCAGCACTTTAAAATGCATGCCGAAAAAGAATCTTGGATAGAGGCAGACATGTTTCATACCTTAGATTTCTGTGAACGTACATGTATATAATGTATGCACAGTAGTATTGTTCTTCCCCGTCCCTTGAAATAAATTTTTATTACATGTCATTTAGAAAATTAACTTCAGTCATTACTTTTGTCATTCTCCTCTTCCTATAGCTGTATGATACGATGGATAGCAAGCGAAAGCAAACATCGCAGAAACATTATCGGAGCCTTAGTTAACCAGTATTGATTTATAAACTATTCATTTTTAATGCATTGTTGATATTCAAATAATTGTGTCTCGAGCATCACTCACATTGGGTAAAATTGTTCTGCGAGATTATGTTCTGTGCTGGAGTTTGGCACTGTTTCTGTGCTGGTGGATTTGTTTACATTGCATCACAATGGCATTTAAACACCCATCCTGTTGGTAAAGATTTCACTAATACAAAAAAGTATCACAAAAATACCAAACTCTAAGGTAAATGCAAAAGGGGAAATCCACAAAAAAAACCGGAAAAATCAAACGTGATCAACCATCGGTATTAGTGAAAAAAAAACCTGTGATATTTCTGTTTTGGTACAGACATTTTCCGAAGAAAATGGTGATTTGAACCTGGTTTTATTGCTAGCTAAACTTCCAAATTGTATGACAAATGTGTATATAGTTCCGTTATATTGACAAAATTAAATAGGCAACCCAAACAGACGTAAATAGTTAATGTGACAACAATTGAAATCCGGCAGCCAAATCTGTGTAAACATACGTCACAGACATACAAAACAACTGACTAAACATTCAAACAAACATACAAATAAAGACAACAAATGGGTGATGAAGTTTTTAGTAAATTTGACAAAGACGCTGACAAATTTTCTTTTGTGGTTGCATGATAGTATATTGACAAAAACGCCGATAAACAGTTTTTGTAGTTGATAGTACATACTGTATATTGTTTACACTTTTTCGAAAACGTACAAATTAAGTAAAATATATATACAATGGTAAACAAAACGGAACAACACTGTAAAACCCTCTTGCGACCGAAGCAAACACGAAGACTCTCCAAAATTCATAAACCCGATAGCGGGATGCATTGATATCGAGTCACGTCAAAAGTCAGGCGAACAAATGAAACACAATGGCACGAAGAGAAAACTGTAAAGTCAATAACAAGATAAATAATGTCAGCATCTAGAATCTTTAACTCAAAACCATCTTGTATTGTTTGTGAAGTAGACACATTTCAGCATCTAGAATCTTTAACTCAAAACCATCTTGTATTGTTTGTGAAGTAGACACATTTCAGCACCTAGAATCTTTAACTCAAAACCATCTTGTATTGTTTGTGAAGTAGACACATTTCAGCACCTAGAATCTTTAACTCAAAACCATCTTGTATTGTTTGTGAAGTAGACACATTTCAGCATCTAGAATCTTTAACTCAAAACCATCTTGTATTGTTTGTGAAGTAGACAAATTTCAGCATCTAGAATCTTTAACTCAAAACCATCTTGTATTGTTTGTGAAGTAGACACATTTCAGCACCTAGAATCTTTAACTCAAAACCATCTTATATTGTTTGTGAAGTAGACACATTTCAGCATCTAGAATCTTTAACTCAAAACCATCTTGTATTGTTTGTGAAGTAGACACATTTCAGCATCTAGAATCTTTAACTCAAAACCATCTTGTATTGTTTGTGAAGTAGACACATTTCAGCATCTAGAACCTTTAACTCAAAACCATCTTGTATTGTTTGTGAAGTAGACACATTTCAGCATCTAGAATCTTTAACTCAAAACCATCTGGTATTGTTTGTGAAGTAGACACATTTCAGCATCTAGAACCTTTAACTCAAAACCATCTTGTATTGTTTGTGAAGTAGACACATTTCAGCATCTAGAATCTTTAACTCAAAACCATCTTGTATTGTTTGTGAAGTAGACAAATTTCAGCATCTAGAATCTTTAACTCAAAACCATCTTGTATTGTTTGTGAAGTAGACACATTTCAGCACCTAGAATCTTTAACTCAAAACCATCTTATATTGTTTGTGAAGTAGACACATTTCTGCACCTAGAATCTTTAACTCAAAACCATCTTGTATTGTTTGTGAAGTAGACACATTTCAGCATCTAGAATCTTTAACTCAAAACCATCTTGTATTGTTTGTGAAGTAGACACATTTCAGCACCTAGAACCTTTAACTCGAAACCATCTTGTATTGTTTGTGAAGTAGACACATTTCAGCACCTAGAATCTTTAACTCAAAACCATCTTGTATTGTTTGTGAAGTAGACACATTTCAGCACCTAGAATCTTTAACTCAAAACCATCTTGTATTGTTTGTGAAGTAAACACATTTCAGCACCTAGAACCTTTAACTCAAAACCATCTTATATTGTTTGTGAAATAGACACATTTCAGCACCTAGAATCTTTAACTCAAAACCATCTTGTATTGTTTGTGAAGTAGACACATTTCAGCACCTAGAACCTTTAACTCAAAACCATCTTATATTGTTTGTGAAGTAGACACATTTCAGCACCTAGAATCTTTAACTCAAAACCATCTTGTATTGTTTGTGAAGTAGACACATTTCAGCACCTAGAATCTTTAACTCAAAACCATCTTGTATTGTTTGTGAAGTAGACACATTTCAGCACCTAGAACCTTTAACTCAAAACCATCTTATATTGTTTGTGAAGTAGACACATTTCAGCACCTAGAACCTTTAACTCAAAACCATCTTATATTGTTTGTGAAGTAGACACATTTCAGCACCTAGAACCTTTAACTCAAAACCATCTTATATTGTTTGTGAAGTAGACACATTTCAGCACCTAGAATCTTTAACTCAAAACCATCTTGTATTGTTTGTGAAGTAGACACATTTCAGCACCTAGAACCTTTAACTCAAAACCATCTTATATTGTTTGTGAAGTAGACACATTTCAGCACCTAGAACCTTTAACTCAAAACCATCTTATATTGTTTGTGAAGTAGACACATTTCAGCACCTAGAATCTTTAACTCAAAACCATCTTGTATTGTTTGTGAAGTAGACACATTTCAGCACCTAGAATCTTTAACTCAAAACCATCTTGTATTGTTTGTGAAGTAGACACATTCCAGCACCTAGAATCTTTAACTCAAAACCATCTTGTATTGTTTGTGAAGTAGACACATTTCAGCACCTAGAATCTTTAACTCAAAACCATCTTGTATTGTTTGTGAAGTAGACACATTTCAGCATCTAGAATCTTTAACTCAAAACCATCTTGTATTGTTTGTGAAGTAGACACATTTCAGCACCTAGAATCTTTAACTCAAAACCATCTTGTATTGTTTGTGAAGTAGACACATTTCAGCACCTAGAACCTTTAACTCAAAACCATCTTATATTGTTTGTGAAGAAGACACATTTCAGCACCTTGAATCTTTAACTCAAAACCATCTTGTATTGTTTGTGAAGTAGTCACATTTCAGCACCTAGAATCTTTAACTCAAAACCATCTTGTATTGTTTGTGAAGTAGACACTGAATATTTATCTATTAGGTCTTGGTACTTTCCAATGAACTTTTTGAAAAAGAGGACGAGACGTTCTTTGACAAAACCCTGGATGAATATTTTATTTCTCAGACACCGATGACATTTTACAAAGTCTGCGAAGCAGTCGCAAGTTCTTCAATATCGTATGAGTTGAAAATACATACTCCATACACGGGTGAAGTTGTTATATTGCAGCTAAGGTGGGGCAAATTTATAATTTTTAAATTGATATCGTCTCGTTTGTCATATATTTTGATACTGAGATGAGCGCTGTTGTTAAATTCGAAGTAAATATCTAGAAATAAGGTGGACGCTGTATCGGTGATTTCTTTAATCTGTAGTTCAGAAGGATATGTTAATGGGACCCAATCAGAAAAGTTTGGATTGTAAATGGGAAAAAACATCATCAATATACCTGTAATTGAAGTAAAATGATATAGATTCTTTGATCGTCTTGTTTTTAAAAGTGTCTGAAGGAACTCCGAAGACTTATGGAAATAAGAAAATAATGACCAGGAGAGGCGCACAGTTGGTTCTCATAGGAATGCCGACAACCTGCAGAAAAAATCAACCTCCAACTTCATCAAATGTGTTGTCAATGAGAAACTCAGCATACTGATCGTTTGTTCTTCGATGTAGCATGTTTAATTTGTATGCTCTTTAAAAGAAAAACATGCACAATTATATATCCCACAACAATACATTTATAGCGTATGGTACCCTTTTTTTATGTAGGAAATAATTGTGGATCATTGTGTTAAGACGGGTTTTTAACTTTTCATGTGGCATTGTTGTGTAAAGGATGATAAATTATATTTCAGAAAATGACAGATATTTAAAAAAAAATGTTCAGAAGATCTTTTGAGTTCTTAGGAATCCACATATTGTTAATGCCACTACGCGAGTAAACAGTGTCACAGTAATTCTGCAATCCCTTTTTCACTGCAGACACAATTTTGTGTTAAGGTGTAATACCACCATTGATTTTCCCCTATTAGTCTTTGTTAAATTTGCTAAAAAAAAAAAGGTGCTGAATTTATTTTTGTTTCAAATAAAGAAATACTTGGCATGAGTAAAGTTTTATCCTGTCCAGTACTATAGACAAAATTTCACATAAAATTTTACATTTCATTGCATATAAGAAAATAACCATCACTGGAAGTTAACCAATCAAATTGTCACTCCTTTTTTTCCTGTGTACAAGCTTTAGTAACCATAAAC